CGGTAGGCCTGCGGCGTGATTTCGAACTTGTTGTAGATGAACTTCTTCAGCTGCAGAACGGAAAGGCCGGCCGGGCAGAGGAGGTACCGCTTCGAGGGCATGTCCTGGTGGTGGTGATGATAGTGATAAAGAAGTTAAAGTAAAGATAAACTCCCAAAGTAAAACACACTTACCGTATTGCTGTTCGGATCCTCATTCTCGTCATTCACCACCTGCTGCTGATGCTGCTTGTTCATGAACTCCGTTTCGGCGGCCAGGTTGGCTGCTGCTGCTGCCGCGGCCACCGCTGCCGTCTTTGAAGCGGAATTGGCCACCGGAGATGACTTGGTCGCCGTGGGCGAGGACTTGGAGGCGGTCACAAGACCTCCTTTGGAGGCGGCGGTTGGAGTTTTGCTATTGCTAGTGCCCGTTGGATGCTGAAAAGACGGCGGCGGCGGTGCTTGTGACGCCGACGTTCCGGCGCTATTGCTCTGTTGTCCATTGCGTTGGTAGTCACTAGAGGTGATGGTGAAGAAGAAGAAGAATATGAGGTGATGTGGTTAGAAGAAAAACTCCCAAAAAGTCCCAACAAGTTCGAAAAAATTCGAAGAAGCAGAATCAGTACAGCGCAGCGTCTGCCGAAGTAAAGCCAACAGCGGCGGCCCTCTTCCACAGTGCAGCGTATTCAGAAGGCAGCTCCCACCGGGCGGAGCTTCCTCGAGGGGGGCCGTCCACAGGCGACGTTACTGTTGGCGGTACTGCAGTGCAGGGGCAGCAGTGCCCGCACTGCCCCCTCTGTGCCTGCCACTGCGCTCTGGTGGCCGCTGCCTTCCAGGGCGGCCTCCTCTTTGCCGCCTATGTTTGCCAGTGAAGGAGAGAGCGAGAGCGCGCTGGGCTACCTTTCCCGCCGCCGCCGCTGCCAATCGGCCGTTCATTAGTGCCCAATTAAAGGGCAGAAAGTGCACTATAATCGGGTCAATCAGAGGTGGAAAAAGTGCCCAAAGGTGGCCCAGAGATCTGCCGTCTTGGGGCGCCAAAAAGAACGGTACTTTTCGCGCCAAAAACGGTGGAAATGGCGCCCTTTTGCGGGCACTTTAGCTAGGTGAAAATAGCTGCCTGCCGCTTTCAAATCCCGCCTTTTCGAAGCGTTTCCACTTCTATTTTTTGGCCTCCAAAGATTTTACCCGAATTTTGCTTGCATCGATTCTCTCATTTCCAAACCTTCCGAAACAAAGCCTACTTCTTTTGAAAACGACCACGACGATCGGAAGAGGAAGAAGAAGCCTCAGCAAGAGATATCAAGTCCGGGTTCGTCTGTCAGTCATTGTCGCTATCTCTTCCTTTCATTCACTGACACTAAACTTTTTCCCGACAGAACTTTGGAATCTTCAGCCACTGCGCGCCCACTAATTGCGTCCACTAACGACGGTTGCCTGTCTGCCATCCTGCCTTTCTATCGTCATCATTATCTAACTGCCTCCACGCGTCCTCTTTTCCTTTCCTTTCCGAAAGTCTGCTGAAGCACTCTTTTGGTGCTGCAATTTCAAGGCCTGAAATTGACAACGACATGGGCACGCGTCAGTCAGCCAGCCAGCCACCAGCGGCGGCCTAGTGTCAAGCTCTTTTTGGTGGTGGTCGCGTGTCGGTCACAACCCGCCGGGCGGTCGATATCCGGACACGTGTGTCACAATCCACCAAAGGGAGAGAGGATTTGTGTGTCCGCCGTCAAAACGTGGCCCGAGAGAGTTGTCGATCGTCTGCCGTCGCTGCTCGCTATCTCCACTTCTGCCCGTGATTTACCCGACCAAACGAACGGCCAGCAGGCACTCAAAGTGTCAACTCTCTGCTCTGCTCTGAAGATATTGCCGTGTAATGATGATCGGCTGAAGAGACTTCGTCCACTGACTTTGACTGACTAGCTAGCTGCCCGGGCTAATGAAGACGTGTCCGCTTGCCTGCCTCCTTGAGGACACGGAGGTTTTGCTTCTCTGCGCTTGAAGAGAGCTTCACTTTGGTTCAAATTCCAATTCCCAGGATTACCCGTTTTTTTTGGTGGATTCTAAATTCGAAAATCTGACTTTTGTTCTTTTTTGCGCCAAAAGTGAGGTGTAAATAGCGCCGCTTCACTGTGAAAATAGCCGCGGCCATGCTGTTTTTTTCTCGAAAAACTCATCTCTGTTATCTCTCCCTCACTTTGCCACATTTCAAAGCTCCCAACTTGCTTCCCCTTTTCAACCTTTCTGGTGCCCCCAAGAACCGAAAAAGCACACTTACCTTGGAAGATCGTACTCCAGCGACATGCTGATCTTGTCCGACGGCCTGAAGTAGGTGTTGAGCTGATTGGTCAGCCGACCGGCGTCCTCGTCCGACTTTGGCTCGGCGTCACTGTGCGTCGAGTAAAAGTCACGCCGCCTTTCCATTTCGCCTGAAGGGAAGGTGTGAGAAGAAGGTAAGTATTGATCATCAGATTTAGAAAACCCCTTTCTTTGACAACTCCTTTTCTAACGCCTTTCTACCACAACAGACTTGACTTACATTTGAAGGCCTGCGGCACCAGCTTGTAGACAATGTCCTGCTTCAGTTTGTCCTCTCGAAGCGACAGCAGCGGCTTGTTCTTGTTGATGGCCGTCTCGCAGATGGGACAGTTCTTGGGGTTGCTGTCATCCTCCAGGTACTTGACGATGCAGGACTTGCAGACTGGGAAGGAGGAGGATTTGAAAAGGTAGGTTAAAAGGATGATGATTTCTTTTTTGCCAACTAAAACATCCTCTCCCCCAAATACTTACAGGTATCAAGACACTCGACGATGGTGGTCGCATCGACAAAGTAGCCCCCGCAGAGGATGCAGGTCATCAGCGGATTGAAGGTGGTGAGGGCACGCGGCTTCTCTGGCTCATCTTCGTCTTCAATTTTTATCTTAACTTCAGGATTCACCTCAGCCCTTGAATTTGAACTACTACTGTCCACCTCCATTTTTGTGCTGATGTGGTGCTTGGCTGATGACTGCTTTTTGGAACGTTCCACAGAGCTGCTGCTATTTCGAACTTTGGACTTTGAGACTGCTGCGGTGGCGGCGGGCAACGCCGGCACCAGCTTGTCCGAAATTGCACGCCTCATGATTTACTGACTTTTGAGCCAAGGATGGACAGGACACGATCTACAAGAAGAAGAAAGGGAGAAAAGAGAGAAATAATCATCATTGAAGGGGAGATCAGTCAAATTTCGAGGAAAATCAACGGCAACAACGCGAGCGCAACAGGGGACAACATGCACGACGGCGCAACGCAATCTCATCTCATCTCAACAACAGCAGCTAAAGGTAGGTGTTCTTTTACTTTTTTTCTGTGTGTGTCTTTAGTGTGCGAGCTTTGGTTTAGTTTTATGCACTTGCGAGAGAGTTCGTGTCTAGCAGGTCTACTGCTGGTGAACCTGTGTGTGTTGTGTTGTTTACTTTAGTTTAGTGTGCCTTTGCCTTTGCTTTGCAGTGCACAAATGGCTTTACTGTGCTCGCGGGGCTTGGCCTTGGTGGGGGGCACTAGTGCGCTTATTACCTTACTTTACTTTACTTTACTTTACTATCTGTGAGTCTTTGTCTTTGAGTGGTGGTGGTAGTGTGTAATCGAAAAAGTGTCAGCCAGCCAGTCAAAGTTGACCGCTGGCGGCTGTGTAATGAGCGCAGGCACAGATTATAATACCGCCGAAGTAGGTGGTCTGGTCTGGCCGGGGCGACAGTTTTATGGACTGTCATTTCTGCCTGCCTACTGGAACGAATGTTCTCCTTGCGGTCTGTGGTAGTTTGATAGTTTTCTCTGCGAAATGTCCTCGCTTTGAGGACGCCCGATTCTCGGTTTAGTTTTGAGTCTCTCTCTCTTTTTCTCCCGACTCGTCACTTTAATGATCTCGCTCTCTCGCTCTCTTTTGTTAATTAAGTCTAATTACACAAGGGAGACTCGCTCTGTAGATCGTTTCTGTCCTCTGAGGACCTCGATCATCGAGTGACGAAGACAGAATGGTTTGTGCACAGCACTTGCTTTTGGGAGCAGCGAATCAGATCAGCAAATCACGGCGTTTGTTTGTCTGCAACTGCTGCTGCTGCTGCTGTCTCAATTTAGACCAAGAGTTTTGCTGCTTAACTTCCAGCAAGTACAGTCCTTTAGATCCGTCTTGAGGGTCTGACAATGGCAGCAGCAGCAGCTACCACCGCCGAGCCGGAACGCAAGTGGAGAGAGCGTGAAAGAGGACTTGTGAGATTGCTGCTGCTGCTGCTTCTTTGTGTCCTGTTCTCTCCTGTCCTCTCTCCTTCCGATCTCTTCGATTGCTCTATTTGTTGTGCTAGGCTGTGAACAACTGCCTGTGAAACTGAGCTTTATCGGTTTCTGCTCTCTGTAGCTCAAAGCTCTGAAAAGCTAAAGAGTGAGTTCCAATCTGCTATTGTGTGTGTGTCGAAGGTGCCGAAAATGTGAGCGGAGACATTGCGTTAGAGTAGCGACAAAAGTTGCTGCTGTCGTCTTTCTTCAGAGCTCAGCAACCTTGAACCTTGGAAGCTCTTTCTCTGTCTTTCGTTCTTTCTTTGCTGTGCCAACCTTCTGCTGCTGTCGGTTGATTAGATTAGCAATAAAAATGTGGCGAGGGGGAAGTGGTGGTAATGCGCGTAATTGGGCCTTTGTCCTCCAACAGTGAGCAGCAAGTTGTGACAGGCGGTGGAGGAAAGTAGTAGTAGTAGTAAGGTGGTAATCATTAGCGAAGAAGTTTGCCTGCATTTCATTTCATTTCAGTCATTTTTGCTCGACGTTGTTTTCCTCTTTTCCTTCTTTTTGACTGACAGCAGGAGAAGAGGAGAGGGCGCTAACCCCTTTTCCCCAAAACTCGTAATGATGACCTAATAGCTGCTGCTGCTGTTGGTTGGTTGGCTAGTTGGTTGCTTGTAATCATAATCTGATGAACACTCTTTGCTGCATGTGTTTTGCTGCAGTGATGAGCAGCAATGGCAGGCCTCAATTGCCGTCCGGGCGCCCATTTTCTTCCTCTCTCCCGTTTTTTGCTGGACGGTAACGAACGACTGCATCAGCACCAGCAGCAGAGGCATCTTTTCCGCCATCCATCACCGACAATAGGCTTTTTAACTTTTCTTCTTCTTTTTTTCCAGTCCAGTGTCTAGTTATTTTGTTAGCTGGACAGACATTGTCGTTGTGATGTGTGCCTGGAAAGAGAGACTGGCCACCACCACCACACTCTTCTTCACCAAACACTGACTGACTGAAGAGGAGATCTATTGTCTGAATGTGCCTTTGATGGAATCTCGGCAGAGTACAGAGTGGCTGCTGGCCGGTGCACCGAAGAGAGGAGCCGGTCCGAGCTGCTGTTGTCGTGGACGACAGCAGCAGCGTGTTTTGTAGTTGGAAGAACCAGTTGATTGACTTAATCGTTTCGAGTGAGAGAGGGGAGCGGGAAGCAAGTCTCGGTAAGTGTGTGTTTGCTCCTTTCTGTCTGCTCATCTCGAGCACACTTGCCTGACTGTCTGTCGTGTACGTAATCGTTTTGTTCTTCTTTTTCCCCTACTCCTTCAGACAGACAGACAGGCGTCGGTTGTAAGTGGTGCTCTTTCAGTGAGCTGAAGAATGAGGTGAAGAGGAGAGAGAGATCCGTCTTTTCTCATCTTTCCTCTCCTCTCTGACGCCCTGACGTTCATCATCAGCTGATGATGAGTGCTGAGCTCTACTTTTAGGTTGCCGACCAGGCAGACAGTCAGGAAGGCAAAGGAGAGACAGCAGCAGCCGTTTGCATTACATAACTGAACTGTTGTGACGCCATTGCGCCCGCTACCACCACCACCACCACCACTGCTTCGATTTGATGTGCCCTTTTCTACCAGGTTGACAGCGCTGACTGTGTTTGCGTGCTGACTGAGAATTTGCTGCTGCTGAGGCTGTTTTTGTTGTCCCTGTGTATTCTCTTCTTCTTCTCTTCTTTTGCTTTGTGTCTGCTGTCCCCACTCAGTGCTGATAGCTGGAGCTCTCTGATCCATAATTTCACGCTTCGCCTGGCCAAGTTCGTTTGACTGCTTCGAAAGAGCAGAGGCCAACTTTTTTTTCAGCAGCAGCAGCTGAACGAAAGCAGCACACTGTTGGCCGCCTGTTTTTGCCGACAGTCGGCAACGGCTGCTGCTGCTGAGCTTATTGTCAGTTGTGTGCTCGTTTTCCTTCGCTTTCTTCCCGCTACTCGCTGAACTGCTGCAGCTCTCTTCCGCAGTCGTCGACACGTTGGGTGGTGGTGGTGGTGGTGGTGTGATGTTTCGCCCTCCGTTGCCTGGATGGCGGTACTGGTTGTACTCGGTCGAAGGTTTTCTACTTCGAACTGAGAGAGAGGTCAGAGGCTGACTGAGATGAGATGAGAAGAGAGGTCTTATGGACACTAGTGTGTGTGTGATGGCTTCTGCCACGGCTTCTCCTGCTGCTGCCACGGCTGCTGGAACACACTAACGCTGACGCAGAGGTTGTCAGCTCGTTTTGCTAGTATTGAAATTTTCACTTTGCCATTTTGTTACTCTTTTCTTGGTTGCTCTTTTTTTTGTGCCAATTTTGCTGCTGCTGTTGTTGCTGAAGATCAATTGACAGATGAGAGAGTGTTTGCACTTTTGCCTGTTTTTTGTATATTTGTGAAGATCAGTGGGGCTCGCGCGAGTGTGTGTGTTGGCGTTCATTCTCGTTTGTCCCCTCGTTCGTTTGTTTGCTCAGCGCTGTCGTCTTTTTCTTTTTTCTGAAGAATAAAGGCGAGGTGATTGATTGGGCGTGTGGAGGAGGGGAGGAGGAGATGAGATGGTAATGATTGGCTCTAGTGTGTGTCTTGTTACTGTTTGATATTTTGCTTGCTAGCTTTGCTTGCTACGCTAACTAGTGCCGACACTTTTTTCTTCAGCGCACATCTTTCTGTGCAGTGTATTCTGTCGTTTGCCTTGTCAGCTTTGTTTGCCCAGTTCCACTTCTGCCTGTTTCTCCCTCTTTCTCTCATTGCATCGACATTTGAATTCCTTTTCCTCTTCTCCTTCGGTCGTCCTCGCTCTCTCGCTCTCTCCAGCGCGCGCACACAGTCGTCAGTCGTGACAATTGAATTTATCGGTCGATTATAAATTAGATTACGACGACTATAACTAAATTAGATTAGAAGTCATCAGTCGACGGTGGTGCTGGCAGTGGAATGGAAGTGGAATGGAATGAGAAATTAGAGAGCTGACTGACACGTCTCACGCAGACGAGAGAGACTGCTGTCGCTGCTGAACTTTTGCACTCTAATGCTAATTACACAGTAGGCGAAATGGCGGCGACGGCGGCGGTAATGGTGGTGGGGACCGGTGCTGGAGGAACAGGCACAGACAGACAGACAGCCAAACTGACTGACTGCCTGTCTCGGGACCCCGGTGAATTCACCGTGTTCCGTTCGTTTCGCTGCTGCCATTGCTGCTGCTAATGAAATGGGCCAAGAGATTGACAATGGCGCAGTGGTAGTAGAGAGGGGGCCAGCTGGTGCTCCCGTTGTGTTGCCTTGCATTGACGAACTGTGTGTTGTATTGGTAGTGTAATCAAATAGGAGAAAAGAGGAAGGTAGTGCTAGGGTAGTGCTAGGCTGATGATTGAAGGGAGGTTAGCTGTGTGGTGGTGACGGTTAGGCAGAGAGTGAGTGATCCTCGTTGGCTTTGGATCGAGCGTGTTCAGTCAGTCAGTGTTGGGGCCCCTCTTGCGCGGCGGTGAGGTACGCTTTTCGGCGGTGGTGTTAGGTGAGCAGCGAGTGAGCATATTGTAGTGTGTGCCTCTTCTGCCTGAGGTGCCCCGCATTCTTTCTTTCCTCCTGTCCTCTCCAGTCCTGTGTTCTCCTTTTTCTCGCCAGTTTAGTGTGTGCCTTTCGACTGCTGCTGCTGCTGCTGCTCGGCCATCACCACCACCGCCACCACCACCGTCTGCCCCTATAATCCACGTGTCGCGGACTTGGGCTGATTGCTGACGGTGGTGGTGGTGGTGGTGGTGGTGGATGATCCGCTCGATTCGGCTGAGGGGTCCAAAGCTGCTGCTGCTGCTCCAGGGAGTCCTTTTCTGGTCTTTCTCTGTTTGATTGAGATTGCTCTG